ACCTTTGCGATATGATATTTCGAGTTCTAAGAAAAAGTTTTCTCGCATGACAAAAAACTATTCAATAAAGTTATTTCTGACAGCTTAACATGGATATATTTAGTGTATTCTGAGGCTAATATAATATTTGTAACCGAGTTTTACAATTTATAGAACCTACACATACACGGGCAACAATTTGATAAAAAAATGTGAAACTTAAATGTTGTCACATTATATCAGTCAAAAAGAAAGTTTAATAATAAATAAACAATGTAAACAAAGTCTTTCAAGCAATTAATTTGATTATGAAACAAAGACTAAAAATCTAAGTTCATTTTTGAATTCTTAATATCTTCATAAATAAAAACTGTTTTTGTGAATAATTTGTTTATTACTTAATGTCTACAAGTAAGCTCTTTCATTAAGTTTTGTTAATATCGTTCCAAGACGGTCACTTTTCAACTATTATTAATTTTAAGCCGATTAAATAATTTAACTTTGACTTTATTTAACTCGGTGAGTAAAGAAATCAAAATGAAAATACTTATTTAAAACAACGCGCATGTAATCAATACACTATATTTTGTTTGTTTTATATTTCCATTATATTATTTACATAAACATTGATACTGAGAGATATAGAGCTATAGAGGTATAATATGCATATATATATAAAAACGACTGTCATACGACTTCACGCATTCTACTCATCAAAAAAAAGGGGGCAGAACCGCACACGTTTTAAGAATTAATTTTTTGGTAAGTCGTCAAACAAGAAATGGGACTCGTAAGTACAATTACGTTACCGACCTTATGTGAGTTGTCTGGGATTTAGGGATGGGGAATTTAAGGACGGATGACAGGGTCTCGTCGACTCAACCTTACTCACACTCCCCAGTAAGTGTTTCACTCCGGTTGAGTCGACCCATTCAATCTAAAACACAGTGTACACGTAACAATAACCACTTCTAACGAGTTACATTACATAATAATGGATGAGCGTATAGCCAAAACATAGAGTGGGCAGGCCTCCCGCTAGGTGGACTGACGACATCGTCAAGTCGTGGGGAGCAAATGGATGCAAGCGTGGCCTTTGTTCAGCAGTCAGGGCATCTTCCAGATAATGATAATGATATATTCCCATATTATGTGTAATTCAATTCATTTTTTTTACACTGGACCAAACTAATTTACCTCTAATCAACTTTAAGGAAACTCTAGAAAAAAAGTAATAAAAAATCCGGTAAAAGATACGTTTGTTTTATCTGAAAAACAAACCCTAGTTTACATAATTGAGTTTGGACAAAGTCTTCGGCATTAAACCGGCGTTAGAGTAGCCATCAATCAACGATTACTCGTACTTAACAAGTCTAAATCTTATCAAGACAACTGCTTTGTCTCTTTGTCCTGTCTTCTTTACGTCCGCGAAAGCTTTTATCTTTCCGACTTTAAATTCGATTTTTCAGAAAATGAAAACTACACTTGCTTATTTCTTTATAGTGTTATGAATAAAGAGGATTAATATTTACCTATGGGAACTATCAGACTACGACTGCTACCAAAAATTGCTGTTTTTATTTAGATTGAAATGTTTACATACTAGCAGACCCAGCCATGCGCTAAGGTTCTTGTCAAAATAATATTGTGACTATAAATTGAGATGTAAGCTATCCTATCTTTCAAGTTGGATCAAAATGCACACGGAATGCAATTTGCATTCCGTGTGCATTGCATTATGCAAATCAAATTTAAAATCGGTTTAGTAGTTTAGGACTCTATCGCGGACAAACACGTGACACGAATTTTTTATCTCTTATATATAAAAATGGATCGCAAAATGTGTTATAAGCGCATAACTCAATAACGCCTGGACCAATTTGGCCAATTCTTTTTTTAAGATGTTCGTTGAAGTCCAAGGATGGTTCTTACGGCGAGAAAAAATCGAATAATTGCCGGGAAAACCCTAAAAACAGTCCTTTTCTTTTTCACATACAAACGTTTTCTAACTAAATCGTCGAATCAATTTGAGCTTTATTGCTGTTATACATAAGGTTCATATTAAATAACAAGCACTCACTGTTATCTAAGAAATAAGTGAAAGAAGAAAAGGTGTGTTCCTAACGTCAAAAAGTAAATTTGCACTTTCTTACCACTAAACAAAGTTCAATTTCAATCATCTATCAAAACAGTGTGCGCGTGTGCTTTGGAGCTGGAGCACAGAATTCGTCGTTTGAGGATTAATAAGTCGGGTTCCGAAAACAAAAAAAAAACCGATTTGAATGATTCTTTCAGTGTTATGTAGTCCATTTATCGAGGAAGGTAACTATATTTTATTTAATTCAAAATTAGGGATCTGTAATAAAATTGCTATTTTGTAACACAAGGAGTAAAATCGAAAACCTATTTTTGCGTGCGCTGCAATAACTATTAACCATAGAACAAAATGATGTACTACGGGTTTGTAGATTCTATTAAAACCTACAAAAAGTCCGCGAGAGCATATACCTAGCTGTCATGGTTTAATCACAATACCCGATTTTGTGTTCAAAATAATTATTAAATCGTCTGAAGGAAAAAAAGCGTTAAATATGTATCGTAATACTATTCTTTATCGGAATTAAGCATTATGTTATCAAGAGTATTTATTTATAAGTATTTTAAAATACGTTTTTATTTCCTCTCAATCTATCAATCGTTTAAAAGTTATCATGTGTGTAAGATGTTAAGAGTTGGTACCTTATTAATGAGTTATGGACCATAGAGTTTTTTATCAACATAAAATCCTGTAATAATATTTTTCGTAATATATTTGTTGATGATTGTAATATAAGATGTTTGAAGAGTATAAGAAATACATTTCTAAACTAACTCTGCTAAGGATAAGGAAATCCAATGAAAAACATACATCTTAATTTGGAAATGTCGTTGCGGAAGCCATACGATGTAAATGAATTAAATGAGTATATTACTGTAAATGCACCCAAGTTCTTTAATGACCAGGTAATGGCAAACAATAGTGTTATGCTCAGTGTTGTTTCAATGAGGGAAAAATATTTTTTTGGAATCTCCAGGCGGAACCGGCAAAACTTTCATTAGCTACTAATATGATATTAGCAAAAGTAAGGTCTCAGGGAAAACTAGCTTTGGCAGTAGCGTCATCTGGAATCGCTGCTACAATATTAGCTGGCGTACGCACAGCTCATTACACTTTTAAACTAACATAACCTAACCGTTCCATTACAGAAAGAGCGTGTGCTCTATTCGTAAAAATGGCCTTTTAGGCAAAGTTTTGTAAGATGTCACTTTAATAATCTGGGATAAATGTACCACGATTCATAGAGCTCATGTAGAGGCTCTAGATAGGACTATTATAGATATTAGAGACTGTTATAAAAACATGGTTGGGATTACTGTCATGTTTGCTGGGGATTTTCGGCGAACTTTACCAGTAGTAGTAAGAGGAACTAAAGTAGACATTGTAAAAAATTGCCTTAAAAGTTCTCTATTATGGAAATTTGTTTAGACCTTAAAACTATCTACGGACATGAGAGCATATTTGGGAGGTGGTAGTACAAATTTTCCTTTGAAGTTACTTTTAGTTGGAGACGGAAAAGTACCTTATTTTGAAAATAAAATACCTATTGATCAAGATTTAGGAGAAAAAAAGACTAGCATTGAGAGTTTAATATCAAAAGATATCGTCGAAATAGAAAATAAAGATTATCAATGGAAGTGTGCACAGTCGGTGCGGTGGCTGGGCAACTGGCTGCCGTGCAACGTGTCGCGGGTTCGATTCCCGCACGGAACAACACTTTGTGTGATCCACAAATTGTTGTTTCGGGTCTGGGTGTCATGTGTATGTGACATTGTATGTTTGTAAACGCACCCACAACACAGGAGAGAATCCTAAAGTGTGTACAGTAGAGTAAAGTCTAAACAGTAGTGTTGACAAAATTAACGATTTCATTTTAACTAAACTTCCAATGGATCAAGAATATGCAGTCCATTATCTTCAGGGATGTTTTCATTCTTTAAACCCGAGGGGCATCCCATCACATTCTCTCAAGTTAAAAATTGGTGCCCCATTATTTTACTTAGAAATTTATGTAACGGGAGACTTTAGGTTAAATTTGTTCGCAATAACGTGATCGTTGCAATAATAGTTCTGACTGGTCCAGTGGTTGGTCAAACAGTATTTAAACCTCGGATCCTAATAATTCCAAATGATTTGCCTTTACATTTTAATCCAATTCAGAAAATAAAACAAAAAATATAATTTACTCAGAAGTACTTTAAAATGATATTTGAACCCGGTTTAAAGTGGACGGATACTCCCGCCTGTAGTCGTAATTCTTACTCTGGCTGAATTTCGAACAGATAAACAGCTATTGCTTACTTGACTTATACAATTTAACTAAATCTATATTTTTCTTAATATTATACCTAAACATGAAAAGTTTGGTTGTTTGTTATGAAAGCGGTAATCTCGGGAAATGCTGATCTGATAATTATGAAAACTGTTTAAATATTCAATAGTCCATTTATTGAGGGAGGCTATACTCGTAATATAGGCAATATTTTATCTCGGTATTTCCACGGAAACGACAAAAACGCGGGTGAAACCGCGGGGCACAGCTAGTATACATATAAAGATGGTTAGCTTTTTTATTATACACGATAATTGAGATTTTTATTATAATTATTTTATATGCACCTTTTGTTGTGATCATGTACGAATATATAAATTATCAATTGAAATCTGACTAAAATCATTATTAAAAGCTTTAGTTTAGTTCATTTTATAATGTTAAGCTAACACAAATGTAATAAATAACAAAGTTGACTGATCGTGTTTACAATTTACATTTACGAGACAATTGAGCAACCATAAAGTTTTGTGTCACAAAAAAGAAGGACCACAAACACACGTATACTACTTCTCACTTCACTCTACTTCATGGTCCTTATTGTACGAGAAAACAGAACTCCGAATAAACAATAAAAAAGACATTTCTTACCTGAAACCCATCATACGTCCAAGACGCCCACTTCATGGTGCAGAGCTGGACATCGAACGGGAATTGCTCGACATTGATGTCACACACAGACACATAGATCCCATGGCTTAGCCACGTAACTTCTCCCGTGTGTTTCACTATCACGTTGGTATTGATCACCGCTGACCGGTAGTTGGGGTCCGCACTGGGAAAGAATTGAAAAGTAATTTAAAAAAATATTTACAAGTAGTTATAATATAATTGGGAGAATATACGTGTATGAAAATTGCGCAATTCCTTAATTCTTTTATACCGGCATTTTTACTTTAAATTATATAAGGAAACTAGAATCATGGTAATATCACATTAATCAGACTCACATTACCTTAATTTTTAAATTATATAAGGAAACTGGAATCATGGTAATATCACATTAATCAGACTCACATTACCGGAGGCCCAATCCTTCCCCTTCCCCAATCCCTCCTCAATCCCTAAATCTCCAAATCCCTAATCCCTTAAAGGTCGGCAACGCACTCGTAACTCCTCCGTTGCGGGTGTCCATGGGCGGTGCTGATTGCTTACCATCAGGTAATCGGTCTGCTCGTTTGCCGACCTACTACATAAAAAAAAATCAGAGTGTTGTTTCTCTCTTCTATGTATCTATCAAAAAAATATTTACTTAAAATTATGTAAATAAATCCTTTGTTCTCTTCAAGCAATCTAAAGCTCAACAATAATAGTTTCACAGGATTCACTACGTAAATACGAACTGATAAACATAAGCCCTTCATTTGGTCTCCAAAATACGACGAAGGAGGTTTCACCTTTCATCAACTTCACGGTCAGGGTAAACCAGGCCTAAAAGTGAAAATTAAGGCCAAACCCAAGGATTAACTGATCTCAGAGTAATTTTGTTAAGTCTTGAGATACTTCAACAGAAAAGCCTAAACTATTTTAAGTGTTCTCTTAAGTATTCTCAAAAGGATTAGAGATGACGCCAGAAGAAGGCTCGTTGTTAAAATGCTTAAGAGTGGTAAAAACCATGAATTATGCGTGTACTTTCTTTTTAAAGCATGCAAACTGTCTCACTCTCTTATATTTAAAAAAGAAAAAACTTTGCTCGACACTTGGATTTTCTCGTGTGTCATGAGTGCTTTACAAACATACGAATTCACAAGCCCCAAAACAACAATTTGTGGATCACACGAAGTGTTATCCGTGCGGGAATCAAACCCGCGACACGTTGCACAGCAGCCAATTGCCTACACACTGCGCAAACCGTGCAGTCAAATCTCTAGTTATAAGTCGCTTTTTCCAACAAAACAATTAGTCGAATCCCTCAGATCTAGTTTCCTATTCATTTATGAGCATTGCTAGGGACTAGAGGATACCCAGATCATTTCACTAATTGAGTACTCGTGTTGAGTGAAGCATGACAATTGAGGCCTAATTCGAAACATTTGACCTCCTCTTGTATACATAATTACCGAATAAGACCATAAACGGACCAAAGGACCAAGTAAGGACCACTTATCTTAATTTTAGAAGATATTCGAAGCTATATAGTAAAAGTTATTTACACGAGTTTGAAAGCACGCGATCCTTAAGTGCTTGTGTATATTTAACTCCGGACGACATCCGTCCGTACGAACCTAACCGAACGTACCATTATAACGCTAAATATAGGGTAAACCTGTAAAAATCTCAAGCGGCTTTTCCTGACTTCCGAGGATAAAACAAAAGGATTTGTGCAATCGGTAACCAATCAGGTTGATCCATCAAGGATGTCACGACCCTTTTTCTAACGCAGATAAGTGATTAATGGCATTTTATTGTATTGGGTTTGACAGAGGTTCTGCAGGTCAGCAGATCCGAAGAGTTTACGTTTTACGCTATAAAAAAGTAGCTTGTATAATCGGCTCTTTACTGGAAAGGAGTCCTTAATTTATTTTAAAAGCAGAAAGAAGGCCAGTTCTTTTAGTTTTAACGAATTTAAGAAAGGAAGACCTATATTTTTTTTGTTTTTCTAAACATAATAAAGTACTGTGTCTTGAAATTGAAACGGGCAATAAATAAATAAATAAAAATGTTTGATTTTAGTTATGAGCAATAAAATGTTTGATTTTTTACTTTTGGAAGTATAGCTGATTTTTAAAGGGTTTTATTACTTAAAAATTTTACCAATCTATTTAACAATAAAAAGTTTAATTACCTCGTTTATTTATTAAATCAAAACTGAATGTTGAAACCCAGCTTATATACACGAGATAGGTACCAAAAATATACAAAAAAGTAACCAAAGTAACCCGACCTTTTAGTACGTAATAACATGAAACTTCGTAGATCCATTTATAGAAAAAGTTTTATTTACTTAGAAACCTAAATAGGTGTGTTCGCGGGCATTTTCTAATCAATACAAGGTTTGCACGTGGCTTAATGGGTCAAAAAAATACCACCAGAAATGGGCCAATTAACGCCGATAGCTAGCCAGAGTTATGTAGGCAAACGCATTAAAAGCACTGCGGCTCCAGCTCTATCAGGAAAAGGAAGGGATTGGTTTTAAGTCAGTAAGAGTCTGACTTTCACACTCAATCACGCTCCATTCGCGGGAGAAGTGATTGGATGAATTCCCATCAAAATAATCAAAGTCAAAATCAACGTCTTCAAGTCAAGCTTTAGATGGAATAAGTACAATTAGACCCATACAGGCACTTTTGAACGTCAAACAAAATTTTAAAGATATAAAATGTCAGTCTGTCGGTCAGTCCTCTTAGTGAAGCTATTCGCTCGTTCCAAAGTGTAGATTCCGATGGAGAAGAACGAGCAAGAAACTCCATGGTTACTCTTTTAAAATCAGTGTCACATAAAGATTCTTTGGTACATTATTTAGTCGTGTATATTAATAATCCTGATATTTATACGTAGATATCGTCACGCTCCATAGTTATAAGTCAGGAACTAACTACGTTATGAATAAGCATTTGCATCGACAAACTTAATATCCCAAAAAAACTGCTGTAATTTAGGACCGATAAAATAGGTTCCTGTATTCTCACACGGATAGAGATACAGACAGAACGTATATACATTTTATTTATAAGTAAAACAAGTAATATATTACGTATTATTAAATATACGTATGAGTAAAAGTAAGACATACTTCAAAAGATAAGAACTATCAAATGGACATGGGCAGAATGGACACCGAGGGGAAAACAAAGAGGAAGAGGTAGACCGAGGAAGCGATGGGAAGATATATTCAGAGAGAGAGGAGGTCCAAACTGGAGAAGGAAAGCACGAGATAGAGACGAATGGAGGAAGCTGGGGGAGGCCTACGCCAAAGAGGCGACATCCACAAAAGATAAGTTGCCTATTTTAGAGATAATATTTAAAATGAATAAATAATTAAATGAAATATATATATAGATAAATATATGAAATTAAACTAATGAAATAAATACTGATTAGAATACAATTGTAATGTTGTGAGCATGTTTTTCAAGGGTATTTTTATTTTTATTTTATTTATTTTATTTTACGAGTAAAAGTAAAAGCATTGTTAGTAAGTAAGCCAAAAGTTGTAAAAATCACAATTTAATTTTAATGTGAAAAATTGTAAGACAAAATAAAAATTTTTGTATTGTATTTTATTTTATATCTTATGTTGTTTAATGTAGATTCAATTTACCGTCCTATGTTCTTATAAAACGACGATACCTAAATTGATACTAAAAATAGTATTATAACCGCTTCTACTTTCAAATGAACATGCGTTAATTCAGACAATGCATGAAACTTTTAACGATCAACCAAATTGCTTGACATTCTCTACTAAATATGGCTTTTAATTTACTGCCTTTAATCAAAGTTATTTGTGCTTAAGAACTAAATAGGTGTCTAAATTACAACCACAAAGTCTATGCTAACTTAAATTAAACTTTGTAACTATTCACGAAATCTCGAATTATTCTGACCTTATGTCATCTACGACAATTTCCACGAGTCAAAATTCAGAACGTCAAAAGACTGTTATGTGTATCTCGTAAAATTATACAGATCTTTGATTTTAAACTTATTTGACTAACGATGACGACGTTGCTTTATATAAATATAGCGATTTTTTGCGAGCGAGATTTTTCATTTAATAAGTATTTGAAAGAAAAAAGAATAATGCATTTATTCGGCATAAGATAGGCCAGGCACAAAAAATGAACAAGACAATTACTCAGGTTTCAAAACAGAGAAAAATATGTAACAATAATAGTAAAACAGACTACTCAGGATAAGCAGACATCCCTAATCCAAATGGGTAGCCTCTCAAACAAAAGCTGGTCATAACAACCAACACTGATTTTCAATTGGACTCTTGCTATGATGCACGATCGCAAGCAACACATACTAGGTAAGCAAGGACTGTAATCCACATATGCCAAACCATCGTTTTAATTATATGGGTACGATTACGTGGTTCAGGTACGATGATCAGTCTAGATCAATACAATACATAAAAAAACAGGGAAATCTAGTAAAAACTGAGTAGCATCTGCAAAGTATAAACTAACTCGATTCTTGAGAAATACGAGCAATGAAAATATTCGATTGAAAGTTCAATGTAAGAAAAATGTAGGAATGTAAAAATATTTGTATTATTTTTGATCCCGTTCACATACGCAGGTCCGCAGTCATTAAAAATTCCCAACCATAAAGCAAACTTAATCAGGGGCTGCGTGCCAAAATACACATGAAAATGTTCAATAACACATTTGCACTCACGAAACGTGACTTCAAGTAGTATTTAGCACTATTTACAGCTCTGCTCACCCCATTTAACGTCATAAATATGTGTTTTAACTTCGAAACAATACCAAGTGGTTAATGTTGCAGCCTGTTCCATCTGCTACCCAAGCAAGAAAATATGGTTTCGAGACCTGACGAGTACCTGTGACTTATTTCCCTCTAAGATTATTAAGATTATTAAGACACCACAGGTATACGGTGAAGGAATACTTCTGAATTGATAATTTATAAATTTAAAATATGACTGATACACCAATTTAAAGTTGTGCCGCGAGCTATAGAAAGGCTATGCTTGGAGTCTCTCTGAAGGATCGTATTCGGAACGAGGTGATCCGACAGAGAACTAAAGGTATCGACATAGCCCAAAGGATTAACAAACTGAAGTGGCAGTGGGCAGGTCACTTT